CTCTATGAGACTGCTACCTTTCAGTTAAGGTCACCATAGAAACAGAAAATAGGTTTGCATTCACCTGACCTGCATAAAATGTTAATAGGCCCCAAGGCCAGAAGATAATGTACAAGACCATCATAAACAAAGAAATATGCAGAAAACACCCTGGTTTCGTGAGGAACAAGCTGATGTAATGTTAAACTATCTTCCCCTTAGAAATGTACTAATTTAGGGTATAAAAGCCACGGTAAAAAATAAAGCATTGCCAGACCCTGCCAGACCTTGCAAACAATCCTCTCTGCTCATTCTCTCTCTCTCTCTCTCTTTCTCTCTCTCTCCCTCGCAGACTTGGCCCTATCAAGGCTGGTCTCACGTGTCTTCTCTCTCTCTCTCTCGCCAACGCCATTCATCCTGAGGGTATCCCCTGGATCCTGCCAAGGCTGGACCCCGGCAGGAAGGAGTGCTCGCTTCACCATCAGGAGCTGGAAAGAAGTGGAAGCAAAGCAAGGAATTCATGTGATGACCAGAGGTCAGCAGCAGGGAGCTGCGAAGACCGCCTCCTGTTTGTGACTGGCCGTCTCTGGATGCATTTCTTAGCAGAGAGGCATTACACTCATGTCTTAGTTTGCTAACTAGTTCTTACTCTTGTTTAGTTGCCAGGTCATGTCTATTTGTAACCCATGGACTGCAGCTGCCAGCTCCTTTGTCCATGGGATTTTGCAGGCAAGAATACTGGAGGTGGTAGCCGTTTCTTCCCCGGGGGATCTTCCCAATCCAGAGACTGAACTCTAGTCGCCCCCTGTGCATGGGGCCTGCTGCCTAGCAGGCAGATATTTGACCTCTGAGCCGTCAGAGAGGACAGATGGTAATTATGCCAACCACTGAAAGAGGAAGTACACACTAATCTTTATCAAGATATTTCAAACCGCAGAGGAGGAAGGATACTGTCTAGTTTATTCCATAAAGTTGGAATTATGCTTACCAATAAAGACATTACCAGAAAAGAAAGTGAGGCCCCCAATGCCTTATATACAAGAAAAAATCTTTTAAGGTATTAGCCAACTTAATCCCAAAAAAAGGTATCAAAATCCAAGTGACATTCACCCCAGGAATGCAAGTGTGGTTCAACCTAAGACAATCAATCATGAGTATACCACCGAAACAAATTAAAGAGAAAAAACATTAAATATCACAAATGGTGCAGAAAAATATTTGACAATATTGAATATCTTTTCATGACCAAAGGAAAAAGAGAAACAAAACACCAGAAAATTCTGTGTAGAAAGAATATATCTCAACCCCATGAAGGGCATTTATGAAAAACCCACAACATACATCATACTCCATGTGAAAGGCTGAAAGCTTTCTCCACTGCCAGTGAACTCTGTCCTGGAAATTCTAGTCACAGCAACTGAGCAAGAGAAAGAAATAATGGCCATCTAAACTGGTAGGAAGAAATCAAGAGTCTCTAATCTCTGGGCACATAATACAATATAGACAAATTTCAAAAGTCCACAAAAAGTTACTCATAATGAATTCAGAAATGCATCAGGGCTCAAGATTCAGATGCAAAAATCATCTGGGTTTTTATGCACCAACAAACAATTCCATTAACAATAATATCCAAGGAATCAGTTTATCTTAGGAGAGAAAAGACCTCTTTACTGAGAGTTATAAAACATCTCGTGATGAAATTAAATAAGAGCAAGTCACTTAGAAAGCAGTCCGTGTTTTGGAGACTTAATGTCGCCCAGGGGGCAACACAGGGACATCGCAGGTGAAACCCTGGGCCTCCTCCTCCAAACAGGTCTGCTCATCATCTCACAGGTGACCTGAGACCCTAAAGCTTGACTCTGAGGAGTCTGAGGGCATGAAGAGGGCAGTAGGTCCTCCCGTGGGACCAGGAGTCAAGGCCCAGGGAATGACCACGTGGGCAGTGGGCTCTGAGCCTGCACCCGGACTGAGGACTTCCGGCCTCTTCGGCAGTCCGTGCAGAGTGGCCACCGGGGGGCAGCAGAGAGCCCCTCAGCCCCGCCCCTGGAGCGGAGGCGACCCGGGCGTCAGGACCCACGCAGGGCTGGGTTCCCACACCTCTCACCTGGAGGACAGGGGCCGGCTTCCTGTGGTGTCCTCCCGTCAGGATGCACAGACTCCACCCTCTTCGCTTGCACTGACAGCCTCTGTCCTTCCTGCAGGACAAGCTCCTCCTTCCCCCTCTCTCCCCAGGGGGCTGGGCCCACAGTTTTCTCTCGTCCGTTCCAGGAACACGGAGCCAAGAGATTTATTTGTCTTAATTAGAAACACTCTTTGTCTTCCTGCGTTCCCCCAGTAACTGAAGGCAACTTTTAAAACCGTGTTTCCGGGACCTCCCTGTGGTCCAGTGGCTAGACTCTGAGCTCCCAGTGCAGGGGGCCTGTGTTCAGTCCTGCTCAGGAAACTGCATCCCACAGGTTGCAAATAAAGATCCTGCATGCCACCCGATGCAGGCAAAGAAATATATTTCACATGAGGTGTTTTTATAATTTACAGCGGTATTCTTTCTTACACTTAGTCATTCCTTTGAGCACATGATCGGTCGATGGCCCAGACCACACATGGCGATACTGAGGCCCAGCACCCACCGGCTGCCCGGGACCTCATGGCCGAGGGTGGACATGACAGGACCTCAGGGGACCTTTCAGAACTCCCCGTGCTCTTGGCAGAGGAGCAGTGTGATCCGTGGCTCTGTCACTCGGGAGCTGTGTCTGAGCTGGGCCCTGCAGCTGTGCGTCACCTGTGGCGTGGGCCTGGTGAGACTCACCGTCCGGGGGACCTGAAGGGTCAGAAGAACCTTCCCTTAAAAGTTCTGGAGGTGGAGCTAGAACCAGACCCACAAGTGAACTGCACCTAAAAACAGTGAAGGATGAGACACTTCAAAGTCCTGGATGAAATTAAGGTCCTTCCCCTGAACAAGGATGAAACAGAGGAAGGACTTGGCTTCCTGGAAACCCCGACATCTCCACCGTGACTCTGGCCATGTTCATGGCAGAGCCCAGGACCCTTCGGTGCAAAGGCCTCAGATTTCCTAGAAAATACAGACAGTCTCCAGCTCTGAGCTCTCAGTGACAAGGGCTTCTCTCCCAGGAGGGGGGCCAGGACCCAGTCTGGGGTGGAGCTGTCCCCCAAAACCCTGAGACCAGCAGGTGCAGGAGGAGCCGCGGCCTGAGGGGAGTGTGCAGGGTGGCCCTCCCCCGTGTTCCTGGGCTGAGCCTCTCTGACCACACGGCTGCAGGCAGCACCCTGGGCTGGGGCTGATTTGCATCCCCAGCAGCAAGGGGATAAGACAGGCCTGGGAGGAGCCCTGCCCAGCCTGGGCCTGGCGAGCAGACTCGGGGTGTCTCCACCATGGCCTGGACCCCCCTCCTCCTCGGCCTCCTGGCTCACTGCACAGGTGAGCCCCAGGGTCCACTTACCCCAGGCCAGGACTTGGGGACAGGCCTGGCCCTGACTCTGAGCTCAGTGGGTGCTGACCACGGGGTCAGGATGTTTCCTGGCCCTGCTGCAGGGTGGGCAGCTGGAGGGGCTGGAATCCCCCCTCTGTGCTCACTGCTGGGTCAGCCCTGAGGGCTGCGCCTGCCAGAGAAAGGGGGGGTCTCCTTTCCTCAGAGACTCCGTTCACCAGGCCCATGGGCCAGGGGGGCTGAGACTGAGGGGCAGGGGTGCCCTGGGTGCCAAAGACTCTTAGGCACTTAATCTGGGTGAGGCTGGGGGATTCTGCCCCTAGGTTCTCCACCTCCAGCCACCTCTCCTTTTCTCTCCTGCAGGCGCTGCGTCCTCCTACGAGATGACTCAGTCACCCTCGGTGTCAGTGACCCCGGGACAGACGGGTGGGATCACGTGTGGGGGGAGCAGCATTGGAAGTGAAAATGATCAGTGGTACCAGCAGAAGCCCGGTCAGGCCCCTGTGCGGGTCATCTATGTGAATAGCAAGCGGGCCTCAGGGATCCCTGGCCAGTTCTCTGGCACCAGCTCGGGGGGCACGGCCACCCTGACCATCAGCGGGGCCCGGGCCGAGGACGAGGCCGACTGTCCCTGTCAGGTGTGGGACAGCAGTGCCCACATGTCAACGGCTGATGGGAAGGGAGACACACACCCGCTGCCTGGCCTGCACTCCGGCCTCCTCTGAGCAGCTGCAGGTCACGCTGAGGCCCGGGTCTCTCTGTGTGCTCAGGGCCTCTGTTCATCCTGCTGAGCAGTGGCAAGTGGACAGTGGGTCCCGGGTCCTGGGGCTGCCATCAGCAGCCTTGGGCCAGAGGGTCCGCTATGCCGGCTGAGTCCTAGAACAGCCATGTCCCCAGTCCATGCTCAGCGTCTCAGGAGTGGTGGGAAGATTCCAGGAGCAGGCAGGAAAGTGTCAGTCTCTGGTGGCCGCTGGTGGCCCCTGAGTCGGGTGGCCATTCTGGTCAGCCTACCTGATCGTCCAGCGCTGAGACCCAGGGCCTCCCTGGGAGGACAGGGTGTGGGGCTGCAGCCCAGCCCCCCCACCCCCGTCACCCCAAACCCTCTGAGAACCGGGCTCCCCAGGACGCCTGCCCCTTTGTAACCTGACATCCGAACATTTTCATCACAACTTCTGTAAAATGTCCACATCACTCCTTTAAGTATATTCCTCAGAAGCTAAAAATTATCATGACTTGCTAACCACTCTCCTTAAAAATTCTTCTATAACGTTCATCTTTCCTGCTCCTTAGACATGTTTTCATGCCACATCTCTTACTACCTTTGGTCTGCTCGTATATTTTCTTTTTAAAAAAAAATTTTTATTGGAATATATTTGCATTACAATGTTACACTGGGTTCTGTTGTACAACAATGTGGATTAGTTTTACGTATCCTCAGGAGGGCATGGCAACCAACTCTAGTATTCCTGCCTTGAGAATCCCATGGACAGAGGAGCTTGACAGGCTACAGTCCATAGGGTCACAGAGAGTTGGACGCGACTGAGCAACTCAGCAAAAGGCAAAGGCAAGACGTATATCCCCTCTCACCGCCCCACCCCACCCTACTGGGTCCTCACAGAGCACCACTGAACATCCTGTGCTTTATAGCAGGCTCCCGCTAGCCAGCTGTTTTATCCAAGGCAGTGTGTACACGTCAGGCCTCCTCTCCAGTCCATCCCACCCTCCCCTTTGCCCTCGGTGTCCCTAGAGCTGCACTGTTGACAACAGCCAAGACATGGAAACAATCCAAGTGTCCAGTGGCAGATGAGCGAGTAAAGAGGATGTGACGCACGTTACATCTAGTTGCACTGAGCAGCTTCGGCTGCTGGCAACAAATTCTGGTAAATTCTCTTGTCATTTTTATTCTGTTATAAATATTTTCTAACTTTCCTTGCTATGGCTTCTTAGATACACCCATCATTTAAAAGTGGACATTTCATTTCCAAATACATGAGATTGTTTTAAAGTATCTTTGATATTAATTGCTCATTTTGATATTAACGTCTCATTTAAATGTTTTCTTCTCTGCAATCACCCTCTGTTTTTTCAGTCTTCTGATTTTATTGAGGCTTTCAGTGGTTAATGCAAATGTCTCTCTTGATGAATGTCACATTGCACTACAAAATATGTGGGTTGTTTCCAAATATCTTTTGATATGATTTCTAACGTATTTCCACAGTGATAAGAGAACAGACTCTGTGATTTCAGTTCCTTTAAACCATTAAACTTTTGCACCTCGTTTTGTGTCCCTGGATATGTTCCATTGTCTCCNTCTGTATGATTTCAATACCTTTAGATCATGAAATTTTTGCACCTTGTTTTATGTCCCTGGATATGTTCCATTGTCTCCTGGTTTATAGTCTATGGGAAAGTGAATAGAATTTGGATCCACTGTTGTGAAAAAATTGTATAAATCTTAATTAGGTTGAATTGGTTCATAGTGCTTTTCAGGTCTACACTATCCTTCTACTTCTCTGTATATTCATTCTATTAATTTTTGAGAGCTTTATGTTGAAACTCAAACATAAATCTTAATTTATTTACTTAAAAATATTTGTAATATTTGTAATATATGGTGGAACTATATGTAAACTTGTTCTGTGTTTTCCAAGTCTCTTCTAAATGTGTTGTTATACTTTCATCATTTAGAAAACATAAAAGAGAAAAATTAAATAATTTTTTTTAAAAAAGATATGGTACATACATACAATGAAGTATCACTCACCTACTAAAAGGAACAAAATAAGGTCATTGGTAGAGATATGGGTGGACCTAGATTCTGTCACCCAGGGTGAAGTAAGTCAGAAAGAGAAAAACAAATATCACATGATAATGCATACACGTGGACTCTAGAAAAATGGCACAGATGAACCTATTTCCAGGACAGGAATGGAGATGTAGACATATCGAATGGACTTATGCTCATGCATTTTCATACCCAAAAATCTCATTCAATACCCTGCCATACACCACTGTCAGAACAATATACATTCATTTAAAAAATTTTCAATAGCACCGTGATTTTAAGTGCTAAAAGTTTTCTCCTACCTTGAGTTATTATCCTATTAGGAGCAGAGTTTGACTCAAATGACATAAATGGATTGAAATCTTTATTTTTACAGCCCGTTTACTTATTTTTAATTTTTGGTTTCCCAGGGTCTTTGTTGCTGGGTGGGCTTTCTCTAACTGTGGCCAGCAGGGCGACTCTCTCGCTTCTCAGCGTGGAATCGTCTCTTGTCGGGAGCACAGCCCCTAGGCACTTAGGCTCAGTAGTTGAGGCACGTGGCCTTTGTTGTTCTGCGGCAGGTGGGCTCTGCCCGACCAGGGATCAAATCCACACTGGCAGGCAGATTCTTATCCACTGTACCACCAGGGAAGTCCTGAAATCCTTATAAATAATTATCAACTAGTGTTGATTCATGGATCCATCAATTAGCATAATTTACTTTTACCTCTAGGGGCTTCGCCTGTGGCTCAGTTGATAAAGAATCTGCCCTCAATGCGGGAGACCTGGGTTCGATCCCTGGGTTGGGAAGATCCCCTGGAGAAAGGAACAGCTACCCACTCCAGTATTCTGGCCTGGAGGAGACTGGTAAGCTACAGCCCATGGGGTTGCAAAGAGTCAGACACGACTGAGTGACTTCACCTTCTTTCTTTCTTTACCTCTAGAATGAAGTAGGTCTAGCATTGTCAACAATGCTGTTCTGGCTTTCGTTTCTACAACAAACCTGGAGAAACTTCAGTTCCATAAATAGGAGCTTTGTAATAGGGTGTCACTCCCTGCTATGAACTCCTTCCTGGTTAGGTGCCAAAAATGATTCGTGCTGGATGGTCAGAAATTGTTTCTCTAATGATTTATCAGCTGACAGCTCCATTTCATACTCTTTTGATTTTGCAGAAAGCAAAGCATTGGACTTCAAGAGGATTTGAGTGGGGGCCAGTTCGGTGCACCTCCAGACCATCTGAGATGAGGGTTCACTGTCCCATCCACTGGGGGAAAGCCTGCAAGCTGCCCCACCCCAGAGGCAGCTTTTCAAGAAACCACCTGCTGAGAGGCGTCACCAGGCCACCTGTTCACTTTCTCCGTTTCAGGGGTGAACACCAAGAAAGCTTGAGCAGAGCTTCCTGCTTAAATCTTCACTTAAGAGGGCCCTTGTAGAAGAAGACATAGTTTTAAAGACTGAGGAAATTTTAAATATCTGTCATCTCAGTGCTTCCCAGGTGGCACAGTTGGTAAAGAACCCACCTGCCAATGCAGACAAGACAAGTGGATTCCATCCCTGGGTTGGGATGATCCCTTGGAGAAGGAAATG